GCGTCAGGTTGAAAATCTTAAGAGTTATTTCAGCCTATAGAGATAGGGCCTATATATATATATTAGCAAGCCATTGTGATTACTGTGACCTACTTAGCCGATGAGATGAAATATTTTAAAATCTAGGCAAAAATATAAGACGACAAACATCATATTTTAGGAATTTTATTTAAATCATTCAATAGCACCAGGTGGTGTACAATTCATAATTGATAATTATAACACAGCAGAAGTTTCATAAGTCGCATTAAGCTACTCTTCCACCTCGGCGTTTAGTCGAAACCATCGTATCACGAATACGGGTTTTAAAATGGTCTTTAACCCGTAATAAACTAAGCCCACTACACTTCGTTTTGGAGGTGTGGAAATAAGATTGGTGGCATTTAAATCTGACCAATCAGATTCTGGAACAGAAATGAGGGCATGTAAACAAAACACAACACCGCTTTGCCGCCGCCGCCCGTTTGAAGAGATAAAAACACATTCTTTCCAAGTTAAGATTCCAAAGTATGGTTTGATTTTGTCTCGGCTTCAGTTCTTTAACGAAAATCTTACTCAATTCTGTACCGTATACATATTCATCAAAATATGTAATGGCACGCTGCTTTCGTTTTGTTTACGTTCTCAAACAAAGCTTCATAACGAGTGATTTGTTTTGATTGGCTTGAATTTGCTACCAATACAGTAGGAGTAGGACCAATTTTTATCTATGAATACGTAATTTTTCTCACGGCCCCGGGGAAGTATGACTAATGGGGTTGTGGTTTGGACAAGAAAAGACGAAACAATCATGACGGTGGCTTACTGTCGGCGGGGGCTTGACTATAGTCGTTTATTCGGTAACCTTTGCGTTGGCTTAACTTTCATGGTAGGCTGTTTGTAGCCGGCACGGTAGAGAACTTGCATTTTTCACGACCTGGGGAATAATTCGCAAAGAAATGTTTTTTTTTAATTCGAAAATACATGCCTTTTGTGGAGTAATCCGCTCTCCTGCGTTGGAGTTCATTTAGTTTGAATGGCGCCGCAGCGAAACGTGTTCAATTTTTTTTCAAGTATATTTTCTTATTTCTACGATAGATTATAAACTATGGATAGCTCTCAGTTCGAAAATTTAATGAGCTATTTGCCGCAGATGACAACTACTCCATTGTCGGCTGATTCTAGACAGAATTTACGTTCTAAACTGATGGAAACTACCATCAACGAAATACAAGCCGCTGCCGGTGCCATTCCTAAAAAAAGTTCGTAAAATGACTAAAGCAGAATTGATTGAGCAAATCGCTGAATTACAGGAAAACATTGATACGAGATTATCAAAACTTGAGCTTTCACACCAGCCCCCCAGATTGACATCAACAGTACCTTGCAATAAATCTACACCAAAGCCCTCCACAGCACCTATGAATATGATGATGGAAGATAGGCCTACTACTGAAGTTACAATTAAAAATCTACAGGCAATTCCAGAAGTCAAATCATCTGTAGCTGCTCAACTAGACTCGATGCCAATAATTGGTCATGCTGATACCAGAATTTTACCTGATAGGCCTAATCCTAACGAGTTTTACAGAAGTAGTGCAGCCAGTTTAGGCCTATTACAAGATCACGATACCGCAGTGCCAGGTAAGCCTAGAAAAAAATCTGGCATGGACCTGGA